AATTCCTACGAAACATATGTTAAATAGGCTAAATCGATATAATGATTAGAGTACAAGGGCTTTTTCGTAATTTGCGTTTGTTTTTACTCATTTAATGTGGCAGTGATGAGCAAAATAAAGAAATGTTAGTTGGACTTGTATGGTCAAAAAAGTTAGATTTCAGATGTGAATTTAATATGGATCCTAAAATAAATGATTGACATTGAACTATTAAAAGTCAAAAGGATAAATAAAAAAATATTACCTTGGAACAAACTGGACATGTTTTGCTTCTCTCATTCCATTCATAGATGCAACTTAAGTGATAATGATGCGCGCATTTGGTAATTATCCGAGGATTTTCAGTCGTATATTCTACAAAAAATAACTTTTTTCACGTTACTGACTGGGGAACATTTTGACCTCCAAAGAGCATTCTTGTCTTTTTGCATAATAGACGAGAGAGTGAGCCCATGTCCCTCAAGACCTGCTCTATCTAAATCATATGGGACCCACAAGAAAAAGAAAAAAAAGTAAAAATATTTGTTACCTTCGAGACATATCGGGCAAACATCCTCATCATCTACGGAAATAGTGTTGAGTTTATCGGATGCAGGCATCAGAGGGGTAGCTTTTTTGGAGCCCTTTTCACTTGTTGTTGACTGAAGGTTGACCGGTCCTGGTCCCCTTTCTTTTTGATGTCTCATAAAAGATACACCGGTAGATCCAGATGAACTGCTTTGTGCAATTGTAGGTTGTGAAGTGCTTGGACCTTGATAATAAGGCCAAGCCATGCTTTCCATTCCTCCTCTTCTTCCAAGAACAGCTTCACACTTTTTCAGAAATACAATCCAGGGTCAAAATTTACAAATTACTATGGATTAACAAAATTTCACCAAAGATTAAGGAAGTTTAAACAGTCAATCTTTAATCTTTTACACACAAGTTAACCGCTTCCGCTTGTCAACTACACACATGTCACACACGTTATTGATATTAAATTTGAAAACTCCAAGGGTTTGCCATTTATAAGTCAAAACACATCCTTTTTGACAAAACTAAGGGGTCACTTTATATCATATGTCATAAATTGCAATTAAAAAAGCAATATACATCAAAATCTAAACATGTGTAAATGCATACTAAGGTTTTGTTTCTTTTTTACTTAAAGGGCTTAATGGGGATATGATTTAATCATATGCTATCTATGGATGTTTCTTTTTTATTTAATCTTTTTTGAACAATTAATAACGTAAGTCATGACTTTTTACAAATTTCGCATCGTTTACTTTTCCTCCCATTTCCCCAAGCCTGCCCATAATCTTTTCAAATGTTGTAAACCATCAGTTATCCAAACAACAATCAATGAAGAAGAAAAAAAAAAAAAAAAAAAACCTAAGCTATGTAAAAGGCCTCAAAATGCATAAGATAATTAAATTTATGAATTCCAAGAAAACAAATAAGATCCTAAAATTGTACAAAGCAACATAAATATAAAGTTACAGACGAATCTGTTTGAAATACTTGAAGATGCATATGATTGTATTTAAGAATTCTCATCAAAAGCAAAAACTGTATCTACATGATGCTCTTATTATAGCCCTGTGAGTTATATATGGAAGATACAAATAATTTCCAAACAAGAGTCATAAGAATAAAACTCAAGAACTTTCTGATAATTAGTTCAAGAATTCTCACCACAACCACATTAAAAACAAGATATTTATAATGTTAGATGAAGCAATTAAAAGGATCTAAAGATAGGTACCATAATTAGATGAAACAATTCTCATCAAAATCAATTTTTTTTTGTAAAATGATATTCTAGGGAGCCAAATTTGAGGTTAAAAACCATGAACACTAGAGTTATACACAAGGAAATATACGAATTTAGTTATTTTTAGTCATATAGTAATTGAACACGAATAACAATTAAAGAATGTAAACTGCATAAACTTACCTTATTGGTCAAGTCCTGTAGGAAGGAAGCGAAATTTGCAGGTGCAGTTCTATTAACCACACTACTGGAGTCTTGAACTTGTTCCAAGTCATCTGAGTCTACACTTTCATCATCAGGCTCTGGGGCACGAAAACAGGAACACAAGGATCCCATATTGCAATTTGATCAGTTTAGATCTCTATAAAAGTGTGAGTTAAAAGTAATGTCATCAAAAGCCATCATAAACAAACTGTAATAACACAGGAATAAGCCAACTAAATGGACTATAAAAAGCTAAGAAAAGAAGAACAGAGGTAATAACAACATGGAAATTGAGTATATCTTAGGGTTTAGGCAAAAAAAAAAAACCCCCCGAACTTTAACACATGATCGATCATTCCAAATTCGATAGAAATTTGATGTTCAAACAGAAAATCAAAGCAAATAATGGAAATACCAACGTAGAACTTGGAATTCGACCGTCAACGCCGATTCACAGAAACAAAAACAGGATCCCACATAAATAGCCATCTTATTTTGCGGAAAATTGACATAAATTCGAATTTTCTAAAGTCTCACCTTGTCTAAGCTAAACCTCGCGATAGGTAATCTAAACGATTGAAGAAAAGAACGGATTATGATAATTATAGAGAGAATGAGAGAAGGTAGAGAGAGAAACGGATGGCATATTGATCAGCAGTCATTAAAGGGAGTATTGATAATAAAAGTGATAAAGGAGAATTGGCTTCAACGTTGGACTGAAAGCGACCCTGTTATTTTAGAATCTTCAATTGCTCCGGTTGTTTCATCGGAAAATAAGGGATTTGGGTTCCCCTAACAATTTGCCGATTGAATGATTGATTTTCCAAAATTTAAGAGAATATGTTTCGTTATTACACAATTATGAACTCAATAGTACGTGTTTGACAACGCTTAATTATTTAAAGTTAATTTTTTATTTTTTCAAAAACAACTTACAAGTTACAACTTAACTTTTATCATTCTTGGCATGTATGACATTTAGTGATGAGTTATAAAACCGAAAAACCGGACCGGAACCGGAAGTAGTATAACCGGAAAATGCATAAACGGTCTGGGTATTTATTGGGTTCCAAAATTATTAATATCCGGGTACCGGGTATTTCGGATATGGGTCCAACGGGTCCGGGTTATCTGGGTTTTTTGAACCGGATATGTTTAAAAAACCGAAACCGGGTTTAGTGGGCCAAGGAACCGGTATAGGGTAAAAGAACCGGAACTGAAGGGTTGTCTATTGTGATCGACATTCGACAACTCTCTTTTCTCTTGCTTGACGACTCTCTTTTCTCTGCTCGACATTGAAAGGATCCTCATCTGTTTGTGATAATCATTAAATAAATTCAATCTCGTTTTTTTTTTTGCCCTTCTCTGTGATCGACGACAACAACTCGTTTTTTTGGTCCTTATATGTGATCGACGACAACAACAATTCCTCTCTGTGATCAACAATGGTGGACAATTGGATAGATAACAATGAAGATACACAAGTAAGTGTCAAGAATTTTGATTTCATGGCTTGTGAAGATACACAACTCGTTTTTTTTTTGCCCTTCACTGTGATCGACAATGGTGGACATTCAAATATTATGTTATGTACTGGAATCAACTATTGTGATATTTGTATTTCAATCGTAGCCTTGGAATCTGAAATGTTAAAAGGGCAAATGGTTATTTCATCCCATTCAAATGAATTAAGTTCCAATCTTGATTTTGTGCACAAAAGTTACAGTTTGACCTTTTTGGTCAAACAGTTTGATTCTGAAAGTCAAAATGCAACTTTTCTTTCTTGAAACTTTAGAAAAGAAGAAAAGGTATAAGAAACACGTGACATATGCTTATCAATGACTTTCTGTTAATCCACAATTCCACATTATACCCCTAACATTTTTCATAAAGACTTGATAATCAAAGGATAGAATTGTCATTTGTCATTTTAAATTCATAAAGTTGCATAATACCCACTTACCCGGCATGTGCTTAGTTAACACATTGTGTTTTATCTAAATCACTGATTAAGAGATGGCCTAATACTTTCAATTAGACCTGGCAATTCCAGACACGAATACACGAATCTGTGAGAGACACGACACGGCACGAATACACGACACGAATACATCTTAAAAATTAAGATAAAGCTTATTTCTCATCGTGTAATCGTATCGTGTCAAATTCGTGGCTGACACGTTTTCATGACACGAATACACGAATTGTCAGGTCTTTCAATGTCATTTTACCTTTTTCTTTAAAGAATCCCATTTGATATACTAGTTTGGTGGAAAAATAACGCATATCGTTACCCAATTCTCTCGCGGATGGCAAAAGGTATAATTTTAATTACTTATATTTTTTATTATAATGTAGTATAATTTAACATTATATGTTTATGTTATTAGATATTTTGGGCATTCAAATATCTACCGTAGCATCCGAGTCCGCTTTTAGTACAAGCGGTCGCATTGTCCGCACCTATAATAGAGGCCTTAGTTTGCACCCAAGATTGGGTAAGGAAATCAAATAAGGAAATTAAATCATTGTTGACAACATCGAAGACATTTTAAAAGATGATGACATAGCCAAAGGTAACAAACATTCATTTTATTATGTAATAAAAAATGTTGGTTATATACTCACTTTCGCATTACTTTTTTTTCCGATATATATTAGAGTTGGAAGACGCGATACGCACCCAAAATGGAAATGGAAAAAGACCGATAGATATTAACGACTAGTTTTTAGCTTTTTTTTGTTGATAAATGATTATTGCTTTGTAAGTTTTTAGTTTGGTTGATTATTGTTTTTGAATTTGAATCAAAATTTTTGAACTTAAATCATTAGAACTTGATAAATGATTATTGGTTTGGTGATGTTATTGTTAAACGAGCATTCATTCAAATTAAAATTGTTAAACTAAAAACAAAAATACATGACTTTCTTCCATGAGACTACTTAGTCTAACATTCAAAACAATTCAAATCAAAATTCTTAAACAATTAAGAACAAAACAATACGTGTTCCTTGACCATCTTATCTAGTTAACACATCTTCAATCTCTGTACATAAAACAAAAATAAACATATTTCGTATTGAAAAAAATGTTACCAAATAAATTAAAAATACAAAGCTTATTACCTAACTATATTATTCGGATTTTTGGCACACGAACAGAAATGATTATTAAGACTACTTGTACCGTGTCTCGATGGATCGGCTTTAAGTGTAGTAAAGCAATACTTACATTTTGCTTGCCTTCGTTCAACCCCATCATCTTCTACTACCCACAACATATCAAAGTGTAGCCAACATGTGGACCTCTCCTTTAATTTCAAGTGTTAAACAAATAAGTAAAAATAATCTACGTAGATTTAAAGCATGCAGAAAAATGAAGTATCAAAGAGACAAAGACATACTTGATTTTGGGGGTTAGCTTCCATGAATGCTTTTATAAAGAAAATTTGTCTTGCTTTTATAAAGAAAATGAAGTATCAAGGCCCTATTTATAATGAGAAGTTATGGACTTGTGGTGTGTGGATATATTGATCTCGAGAGATGCAAAAGAAAAGTTAACTTTTATGTTCTTGTTTTTATAAAGAAAATTTTGTCTTCTTTCATTTATGTTCATGTGAAAAGTGGTGAAAGGAAACTAAAGTTTTAATAAAAGAAAAAGTCAATCCTTTGCCTAATAAATGGATCCAACCACTTGAATCTGATATGTTGTCTAATTAATAAAGTCAGTGCCAATTTGCCATATTCCAACAACATTATCTTTTCCATTAATTGTCATATTATGATATTAAATACAATATTAGTACTTTAATCGTGAATCTTACCTACGATTTTTAAGAAGTAATAATGTAACGTTGCAAAAATTGCAAATAAGAGCAGGGGTATTTTTGGAAGTTTTCTTATTCCGATTCCAATCTTGGGTTTCCGGTTCCAATGTTCAAATTTCGGTTCCAACCAGTTCCATACCCACTTTACCCGGTCCGATACCTGGAACCGAACCGGAACCGGTTTCCGTATACCGGTCCGGTTTTCGGGTCTTATAATCCGTCAATTCCGAGTTCCAGGTTTTCCGGGTCCGGGTCCAACGGTCCGGGTTTGGACCCACTTTCATCCCTAATGACATTTCCACCCCAACAGCTAGTTACAACACCACTACAAAAATTGACATATGTTGCACAAAAGAATTATAACAATAAGTTTTACACGACATGTTTTTCTCCGCTCAAGCTCAAAGTATGATAAACAATAATGATTTAAAATAGTAATATTTTTTTATTTGTACATATTTGGTCACATAGATTTTTTTGGGGAAAATGACACATATGCCCTATGAAGTTTCTAGGGGTTACTCTTTTAGTCACTTAACTTTTTAAGTGAACAAATTTGGTTTTGTCGGGCCCAATATGTCCTTTTTGAGAAAACGAAGCGGTAACCCGGTTACCCCTTATGCCAGCTCACTTATTTTTATATTTTAATAAATTAAAAAAATTAAAAGGTCCCACAACATCTGAATCTCTCTCTCTCTCTCTCTCCAACAACCCATCTTCTTCTTCCTGTAAAGTAGTCCCAGATGAACAAACCCAGATTTACTCCAGCTTCCCCCTAAAAAAATTCTAGGTTTAAGTTTTTCCCACTTCCGCCTCCTTTGTATTCGCACCTCCGATTCACGATTCCTCAACATTCTTCCCTTTCGATCGACTGTTCATTCTCCATCTTTCTACACAAACACAGGGATCTATCTGCCATCACCACCTCCGACGATCCATAAGTTCAGTCAAACGCGAAGCCACTGTCCTTCGCTTGTTTTATATTGAAATCAGTATGACATTCCTCTCGTGAAGCCTAGCCCTGATCCTCCTCCGGCAACACCACCTCGATAAAAGCCTTCCGCCAGAGTCGTTTTCCTTTAGCCCTTCTCCTCTGCCAGCGCCATCGTACTCCAGCTCTTGGTAAGCTCTGTGAACTCAGCCTAACCCTATCTCTATACTTTGAATCTGTAACGCCCGTGTTTCTAGGCTAGGCATTAATATTGATGTGATAGTCTAGGTTAACCTTTGTAACTCATTTTGAAGAAATGAAAAGGAATTATGTGAATATTATGTGAATTATGTGTTTTATGCTTAATTACTAGGATTTAATTAATTAAGAATAAAAATGAGCGTCGAAAATAAATATTAGATAAAGCCGATATCTATTAAGAAAGTTGTATTGGTCGTGACAAGGATTACGGATATATAAAGAATACCAAAATCCGAGTTATAACGAAGAAGTTATGACCTGTCGAAGTTTCGCGACAAAACCGGCACGGTGCCGAATGTCGTAAAAAGTGAGTTTTTGATAAACTACTTTTTAGCCTTAGTGATCTAAACGAAAGTCGTAGTGTTCGTCAAACCGAGAGTATGTATAAAAAGAACGCCCAAATCTGACTTCGTATGAGGAAGTTATGATTTTTCTAAGTTTCAGCTTAACAGTAGACAGCTAAAAACTCGAATTCGAGTGATTTTTAGCCGACACAACCTAAACGAGAATCGAAGGTCTCGTCAATAGTAGTACAACGGTAAAAAGACAGACGAAAACGGACGTCGGATGAAGAAGTTATGAATTTTTAACGGATTTTCTGTCCCGGTCTATTAAAAATAATAATATAAAAATTAAAGTCAAAATTAGCCGACGAAGTCTAAACGAAAGTTGTAGAGCGTATATTTACCTACGCGTGCATATAAAGAACGTCAAAAATGGAGCCCGTATGCGAAAGTTGTGGATTTTAGAAGTTTTTGCACATAAATTGAGAAAATTTGCATAGTCATGCTTCGGCCACGTCACCTTCGCTCCATGTGCGCCACGTGTCCGAAACTGCTGAGTCACCGAGGCCAGCTGGCGAGGCGTGTCGCATTCCCTCGCATCTGAAGTGCGGTCCAATAGGAGTCCGACGTGTGCCTTCTCCTGACGTGTCCGAGCTTTGTATGGTGTGCCACGACTCCGAACCTCGGACCTAGACCTCGGTCCAATCATAAGCCCACACCTGGACCCTCGCATGTGCGAGCCATCTGCGTGCCTTCGCCTCCTGCTGCCACGTGCCCTCGCTGCTGACTCACCCTTCTCGGCCGACCTTCGGACCTCGCCTATAAATACAAGGCTTGCGAGATTACCCGGGTAAAAATTGGATTTTTGCCATTTTACACCCCTCTTTCAATATCTTTATCATTTTGACTTCCCCCAAAGCCCCGGTATTATACCAAACACCCGAAACACGTCCCGAAGTGCCCGAGAAGCCCGAGAAATTTATCTTTTCGATTTTGAAGTCCAACCCTCGCAGAGCCCGGTTTCTCAATAAAACTCCCGGTTTTATTAGAAACGATCGTTTTAGGAAACGAAGTGCTGCCCGATTATCATTAAATCAAGTGAGTGTGTAGTTACTTTCACCTTACACATAGATATGAAGTATTTTATATAAAATACGTGCTCTGTGAATATATATTGTTTGTTTATTTGAGATGGATGTTGAAGGAATGATTTATACAGGTGTCTAAATAATTTAAACTGTATATGTATTTTTATCTACAAAAATGTTGGGTAAAACATGGGTAGATGAAATAGTGGGTGTGTGATGAAAGATGGGTTGGATAAATGAGATGATCAGTGATATAGATCATGAGTTGAAGGTGAGTGGTGAATTATGAGAGAATCACTTACCCAAACGTTGGCCCCCGTCATTCAGCAAAGTATGGATGACAACCATGGACTATTCTAGATGATTTGTGGAACATTAGCAGGCTCGCAACCTGTAAGTGTGTGAACTATATGTTCATCAGTCGTACTCTAAAAACCCATTGACATGTATGGCAGGGAGATTCCTGTGAATAATACTATCGATAAATAAGAGCTATGGACTTAGCACATGTTGTATAAACCTTGGCAGCTATGGACTTAGTGCCTGTTATAAACCCTGGCAACTATGGATTTAGTGCCTGTTGTATAAACCCTGGCGACGATGTGACTTCGTGCCTATTCCTTAGGATGAAACCTTAGGAATGAGTGGTAGTTGACTCTTGGGGTAAATCCTTAAGAAATAAATAAGATAATGGGGTTGGGGTAATTTGGTTGATTGTTGATGTTTAAGCATAATAAATTTATTTATTGTGGGTTGAAAACCCTATATGCTCACCAGGCTTCCAAGCCTGGCCCACTCAGCTTTTTATATTACAGGTAGTGGACCCCGAGCATAGTCGGATGATGATGATGATGAGTGATTTTTGGATTATAGGCCAGTAGTTGTAAATAACTGTTGTAAGGCTTATAATGTCTTGTTTATGCTTTTGATCTGTATCGGAACATGACATCCCGAGGTTTTGTTATAAAATGAAAATATATATTTCTTAAAGAAAGGACATGATAAATTTTTATCATGTTTTGTTTTGGGAACAAATTCCGCAACATCTTTTAAAAGGATTAATCTGATTTTATTTTAAAAAGCATAAATTAAATCGGTCTTTTCTGGCAGAGAAATTAGGGGATGTCAAAGAATCGATTTCATTTTTTTTATAACGATACAACTGAATCCTGGTTGGCCTTCTATGTAAAGTTCTGGTTGAAGTTTTTACTTGTAGAGAGGTCCATCAATCTGCTAAGCCACATATGAAGTATACTTACGAGAGGATGGGTAGAAAAGAGAATTCGTCCCAAGAGAATCCATTCGTAACTTGTTCAAGGGCAATTTTGGTAATTTAGTTATTTAAGTTTGTTAGAAGTTCTCTTATAGTCAGTGAGGAGGTTAGTTTTTATCATCGGTTTTCATTTGGAATATTAGTTAGGAGACCCTAGCATCTCGAAGGGGGCTACTGAGGTCTTTCTTATGCTCTTGTAATCTTTTGGTTATTGAAGGACCAAGATTAACTTCAATCTGGTGAAGAAGATAGCGGCAGGTGCAAGCCTGCCATTTTGTCCATGGAAGTCACCTTTGATGCTCTGTTCCTCACACGTATTATGTTCCTATTCTTTTTTCTTGATTTTGTTCTAGATCTGGGTGTGATTTTCCTCTTCTGATCTTGAATAAAATTTAATAATGGATGGCAGAAGATGTTGGTGGTGAACAAAGGAAAATACGGGTGGTGATTGGTTTATGGGTAACAATTATTCAATTGAGAGAGAGAGAGAGAGAGAGAGATGGGTGGGCCCCAAGTTTTGTTTATGTGTCCCATAAACCGGCTAAAACAAGTAAAGGGGACTACAAGGACAGGTTGCCCACAACTTTGGGATGAGTTATAAAACCGAAAAACCAGACCAGAACCGGAATCGAACCGGAACTGGAACCGGTATAACCGGAAAATGCTTAAACGGTCTGGGTATTGGGTTCCAAAATTACACTTATCCGGGTTCTGGGTATTTCGGGAATGGGTCCAACGGGTCCGGGTTATCCGGGTTTTTTGAACTGGATATGTTTAAAAAACCGAAAC